AAAGTGATGTTTATCACTAAAAAATTTAGTGATAGAAATACAATGCCACTTTTATTTAAAAAATGATGTTTATCACTAAAAATAGTGATAGGAATTTCAAGAAAGTGACAGAAAATAATAAAAAAGTAACAAACACTAAAAAAATGATGAACACTCAAAAAAGTGACGAACACTAAAAAAATGACATAAAAAATAAAGAAAATAACAAAACACGGCCAAAATTTCACCAATAACCTAACAATTAAGAATGCAAAATGTCAAAATTTAAAAACCATCGTCGTTATTTGCTTGTTAGTCCTTTACATTCATCTATCATTGCCTCTTCAAATGCATCATCATCTCTACCTTAAAAAGGTAACAAAAAAAAAAGAAAAAGTGACATAAATTCAAAAAAGTGACCAAAAAAAAGTGACAAACATTAAAAGAGAGAGAGAGAGAGAAACAATCAAAATAGTGATAGAAAAAAAAGTGACAAATATTAAAGAACATCCACTTTTTTTTTAGTGAGTACTCGAGTAGTTGAAAGCATGGTTTTAATCAACAAGTCGAACACATCATGATTTCAAATGGCAAAAGTCGAGCAAATCAATACCATCAAAGGTTGATAGATATAAACAAGTCTAGTTATTTATGAACATCAATAAATTCAACTTCATATGTAGGTTTTTGCTCTAGTCAAAATTCGACACATAAGAGGGAACTATCATCTAGAATATAAACAATGATACACATCAGGAATAATTCTTGCCACAATCTTTGCACGAATGACAAAAATCCAGCTATTCTATGAACAAAATCTTCAAGTATAACCTTGATGAGAACATCCCAAGCCAAACAGCAAATTTAGTAATTTTGCTAAATTTTTCTCCAGTTTCACTCCGCCGACCAAATTGACAATACAAGCAACGCATATAGAGGAAACCAAAAATATCAATTTGAAAACAATTGAAATGAAAAAAAAGAAGCAAAAATAGTCAAACAAAAATGGAATTAAGACAGAAATAAATAAATAAATAAAAACAATATGGGAGTAGTGGTGACCTGACCTGGATCGTTCAATTGAAAAGATGTAGAACATTTTTGCAGTATATCTGCCAAAATATTTTTTTCTCGATATAAAACCTCCACATTCTTCAAGGGCAATCATGAAAAGATCCCATATTAATGTAACGGAAAGATCATCTAATTCTACAAGTAGGGTGCTCTTCGATCTATCAGACCAGAAAATTTTATTTCTATCAGAACCAGAAATCCTTTTTAAAAATCGAAGTTGGTTGGTCTGCCGTGTTTTGGATGAATTTGAGAATGGGCTATTTGGACTCGACAATTACAGTGGAAAGATCTTTGACTTCAAGTAGTAGCTCTGCAGCACCACTTTGTTCGATGACGGAGTTCGACGAGAATTCAACGACGACAGAAGCTCCAAGCTTTATGGACGGGGGGAACTGGATAAAATGATGACGAGAGGTAGGTAGTGTAAACCATTTCTGAAAAAAATGGAAAAAATTAGAATTAGAAGATGAAAAATCAAAAAGGTATTGTCCGCTCGTGTTCGGATGAATTTAAGCCTAGAAGAGCTTAATTTATACGGTGATTAATGATATAATTAGATTTGAAGCGTATTATTCTAATTAGTTTCCTTTTTAAAGTAGTGGGCCTAATTATATAAAAAATAAAAAAGGCAACTTACAAAAATACTCCTAAAATTAAAGATCTTTTGAAAAATTATATAAAAAGTATAAAAAAGTATAAAATATTTTGTAAAATTAAGTGTCACTTTTTAAATATAAAAAGTGGCACAATATCATCTTTTCTTTTTAATTTAAGTGTCACTCATATTAAAAAGTGATTTTGCCACTCAAAAAATAACGAAAATTTCAAGAAAGTGATAAAAAAAAGAGTAAAAATTAGTGTTTAAAATTTGACACAATGTCACTTTTTAAAGTTAAATATTACTTTTTTATTACACTTTTCACTAAAAAGTGATGTTTGTCACTAAAAAAACGTAACAAAAATTTGAAGAAAGTGACAGAAAAAAATGATAAACACTAAAAAAGTGACAAAAATTCAAAGAAAATTAACAAACACTAAAAAAGTAATAAAAATTCAAAAAAGTTACCAAATACCAATTAAAACATTGAAATCTGTTCAATAAAGTGACAAAAATAAAAAAAAGTGATACAACCACTGTCCCTCATTTTTCTTCATTCACCGCAAAGTTTCTTTAAGAGCTCACTGATAAAACACCAATCAAAATGCCAAATATCTTTAAATCAAAACGCCAAACCTGCTTAAGTCACAAAGTGATGTTTGTCACTAAAAAAAGTGATATAAATTCAAAAAAAGTGACCAAAAAAAAAGTTATAAACACTAAAAAAAGTGACATAAATTCAAAACAGGTAACAAACAATAAAAAAAAGTTATAGAAATTTCAAAAAAATGACATACTAAAAAAGTGATAAATTTTCAAAAAAGTGACAAAAATATAAAAATGTGAAGAGCACTAAAAAAAGTGATAGAAATTCAAAAAATGGTTAAAATTAAGCCCCCATTTGTTTATCATTTTTCATCCATAAAAATGAAAAATATGACCGTTATCCATCACATCAAACTATCAATTTTGAATTTCTATCTCTTGTGTGTGGACCAATTGTAACGACCTGGGTCCCACTTAATGGGCTGTCCCGACCGTTAGATCAAACTATCAATTTTGAATTTTTATCTCTTGTGTGGGGTCCAATAACGACTATATTTTTCATTATCATTCTACAATAATGAGAATCAAACGGACCCTAAGAAAGTGACAAATATTCAGAAAAGTAACAAACACTCAAAAGTAACAAAACACCAATCAAAACTTTAGAATCAGTTCAATAAAGTGATGGAAATAAAAAAAGTGACAAAAACTCAAAAAAAAATTGACAAACGCTCTAAAAGTGAAAAATAATATTTAATTTCAATCAAAATTTAGAAGTGGTCTAGAGGATGATTGATTTTCTTTTTGCATGTTGTTTTTTTGTGATTATACCAATGTTTGACCCCATTAAATTTTAATTCATTTTTTGATGTCCTCTTATCAATTACACATTTTCTCAATAAAATAATATTACACATAAACCTCAAAATTCTTTTTACTTTTTAATCACACATTCTTCAAAAAACACTATTCCAAAATCAATTTATTTTTCTCAAATAATGGAGATCAAACAAGGGCTATGTTTCACTTCTATCAACCAATAAACTTGAATTTGGAAGCTATTCAATAAAATGACAAAAAATAAAAAAGTGATAAATATATAAAAAAAAAAAAAAAACTTTTTTGAGTGGCAACTATTTAAATCATTTTTTCACATCATGATTTTAAGATAAATTAAATGATAACACTTCTAAATCTAAGTTATCTAGATTTGGGCAGTTACAATTACAATCAACATATTATAAGTTTGTGCACTTGGCACCAAATTCACATCATAAATGAACCTTTAGGAAACAGTTGTATGTAACATTGTGAGGGTAACCTGACTTGCTCATCTCATCCAAAACTCTATAGGCTTCCTGAATCTTTCCAACCAAACATATTCCTTCAATTATGCTAGTGTTTGAGCCCCATTTTAATCCATTTTTTCAAACCCTTTCTCATTTTCCTACATTAAGTCTACCCAATTTCAAATCAATTGTCAGAACTTGGTGTGCCAGGGCGAACACAACCGTTGTAAAAGTATACCTTTTTGCCCTTAACTTTATTTGCAATTTTACGGTTATGCCCTCAACCACTTCTTTCCCCAAATTCACTGCCCTTCAGAAATGCATTCACTTCCTCCTGCTGTCGGTGAGTAATCTCTTTGCACCGACCCATTTTTGATTTGAGCAATACCGTTTGCTACGACCTTAAATCCACCCCTTTCCGTCGACAGTGAGTACAAAAAAAGGGAAGTAGCCCATCAACGTTGCCGGATTCACCTTGTTCCACCGCCTCTGCACCGACTACACCCACTACAACCACGAACGTCTGTCGCACGCCGTCTTCCCCAACAATACGGGTCATGGCAGACTACAGATCGCATCAACATTACTACCCTGAGCACATGGCAAGTAGAATCGTCCCTTTCTACTACGTACTATTCATGTTGTCTGTCATTTTTCGAAGTTCTTGTGCTTGGCATGTTTTTGGCTCTTTAACAACATTCATTGCTTACTTGCCCTTCGATTAATGTTTGCCGAGGAATCAATTTAATCTCATTTCTGCAATGGAAAATGGACTGCCCTGCCCATTTGTTAGTACATGCACTTCATTCATACGAATGCGAATATGTGTTTCACCCCAATTTTTCAAATTTGTTTGCTCGACATTAAACATCCAGTGCGTATTTGTTTTCTGTAAATTAGCTGTGAATTTGTTTTATTTTTTTACGATATGCACTTAATTAGTTTCCCCTTCGGTCTGCATGAATGTAATCCCGTTTATGTTTCGGTTGATGTGAATTTCTATGCTGTTATTACCCAATTTTGTCACTTGAAAATGGACTAAGATTATCATGCCTGCATTTTGGGTATTGCATAGCAATACAACGTCAACTTCCCATAACCTTACGCCCCCGCCTCTTCGCCCCCGCAACAGACCCAACCCGTTCTCCGTAAGTCCGCAAAATGGGATCCGCCCGAGCACAAACTGTTCATTTCCACCTGTGAAATTGTCATTTCCGAAGGCCACCGATGAGGCAAATGCTTCTCGGCAACTGGGTGGCAACGTATTTGTGCCATTTTCAACGAAAAGGCTCACAAGAACTGGACTATCTCTCAGCTAAAAAACTACTGGAGCAAACTTCGGACCGAGCACAAACACTTTTTTGAGCTGCTACGGTGCACTGGTATTGGATACAACCCCGTCACAGGTTCTATCGACGCACCGGAGCACTGGCGGGTTAATAAAATCAAGGTACCGAGTTTTCTGTTCTATTTTGCCCAGAAAATCACAGGTTCTAATTTATTGTCCCTCATTCATGCAGGAGAACCGTAAGTATGCCAAGTACAAGGACATGAACTGCAACGAGATCTACGAAACATACGGTAAATTATTTGGCGACACTGGAGATTCGACAAAGTATGCGTTGTCACTGTCTAAGCTATCTCAGCGGGGTTTCGACTTGGACACAGATAGTGATAGGGATGATCGAGTAGACAAGTTTCCCTCAAATGCAGAAGGAACGGATTCCAGCGACGGCCCCGTCGAGGTCAGAGGTAGCTCATCGATGAACATCTCCGGGAATCATAGTGGGGACAAAAGAAAATTCAAACACGGTAAGGAGTTCGGGAAGAAAAAAAAATATGGTGCCAGAGAGGTTTCAGCTTCGCTGGAGCAATTGGCGACCGTTGGAAATGATCTTGCCTCGACCTGGAGATCTCATCAACAGATGGACATGTCGCTCGATGAGTGCATTAGTGAGCTGCTGTCTTCTGGACATATTGGTGAAGGCACGCCGATCCACATGTTCGCTCTGTGGTTCCTACGTGTGAAAGAAAATCGAAACTCGTTCTGTGTTACCAAGACACCATACCTGCGGTACAAGTTTATCGAGTATTGCTTCGAGCGCGACAACGGGAATATCAGGCCTAAGGGTTGAGCGATTTGCCTTCGTTCTCTGTTTACGTATTTGTATTTGTAGACTTCATGTATCGGACCTATTGTACCATTATTTGTAGACCTATTTTACCATTATTCGTTTGCTTCATGTATCCGACCTATTTTACCAGTATTTGAGCTTAAGTTGATCTTTCTCACAATCAGTCACATAGTGTAATTGAATTGCAGGTGATAATATTTTCGGCTTTGATGCCTCTAACCCGGAAATATCAATGAATGCTGCATTTGCCCCGGCTTTGATTATGAATTGTGATGAACATTTTTTATTGGTCAAAAATGTTGTTTTGTTTAAGAAGGAAGATTAACATTAGACAATTATGATGTTTGTCTTCTATTTTTGTGCTGATGAGATTGTTATTTAGTTTGTAATTCTTGTTTTTATGATCATGTGTCCTTACAGTTTGAAGTCTTAATTTTAGAATGAAGCAATTTTATTTATTTGTCGTGCAGAAAAGTGGAACAAGAGAGGGCAGAACTACCTGGAAGAGCCGTATGAATTCTCTGTCTGAATTGCTGAATTGTCTGCCTTTCTCATTTTAGATTACACAACTTATCCGTTAAAGGGTTTTCTTTTATATTTTAGAATGGGGAATCCTCTCATGTTTTGAGAATATTTGATGGGGAGTGGGGAATCCTCTCATGTTAAAATGAAAAACACTTTGTCTCAGTAAAACCCTCTAGTGATAATATTTGGTTTATGATTAATTTACAAAATCCTTCAAACAAAGGGACCTTTATGATTCACTCTAGAGGACTTAGGAATACTGCCTAATGATCCGAAATTAGGATTTATTAAAGGATTATATTTTTCCTATATCATATGTATTTTACTCATTACTTATAGGAAACAAATTTTTATATTAATCCAAAACGTGGACGTGCATGAAATTGGTGGGGTCAAAAATGTTTTGCCCTTCAAAGTAGGATCTATATTAATCCAAAACGTGGACGTGTCAGACTGATAAAAATGTAGGAGGGTTCACATGCTCATATCTTTAACTGCAGGGAATATAAAAATTGTGTGACTTTTGCAGGGAATATATTCCCTGCAAAAGCAATGTCCAACTTAAAGTAATTAAATGTGGAATAGTCAACAACATATGATTGCTGCAGAAGCCTTCCTATAAAAAAATGCAATTGCCAAAATTATAGTTGCAGTGCAGTAATAGAAAAAAACCTTTGCATATTTCGCTTTTGTTCCGTTGCATTATCCGAACACAATTTTTTCACAAATTTTTTGTATTGATAAAATCATCGAGAAAATGTCGGATTACTCTACCCTTTTCTCTTTCTCCGATAGAGATTTTAACATTGAGCATATTTCTGAATTCGACAACAGATCTGATGACGATGTGTTGATGCAATTGGAAGCGGACACGATCACATGTCTCGAATATTGTAGAATCGTCAAGCGCATTACGCGAACGTATCTAGCGCCAGGTGCTGTGCGGCAGTACTTGTTTTCTACGGTCAGATCCGGGCACATTTTCATGCTTCAGAATCTGCTCGTATATCCGCAAACTTGTTTTCAAGAGTTCAGGATGTATCCACCGATGTTTCTGCATTTCACGCATATGCTACGCGATCATTATGGTATTTCTAGTAGTGGTTAGATCGATGTATACAAACAAGTCGGAATGTTCCTTTGCATATTGGCTCACGGAAAAGGTTATCGACAAGTGCAAACTTTGTTTGGACATTCGTTGCAAACAATTGGGCATTACTTTAAGAAGGTACTACGTGCATGCCTTGCATTCTCGGGGAACATGATAAAACCAGATCCAAGGTACAACGAAGGGACAACATTCCATCGACCAAATGCAAAGCGTTATCCGTACTTTCAGGACTGCATAGGCGCAATCGATGGAACCCATGTACGAGCTGTCTTGCCCAGAAATTTACGAGAGAGTTTCATTGGCCGGAAGGGGATTCCAACACAGAATGTGTTGGCAGCATGTGATTTTAACCTTTGTTTTACGTTTGTGTTGCCAGGCACCACTAGCAACACACATGACAGCCGCATATTGGCACGTGCTGTGCACAGTCAGACGTAAATTTTCCACAACCTGCGAACGGAAAATATTACTTGGTAGACTCCGGGTTCGAACATAGGCCGGATATATGGCGCCGTATAAGGGTTCTAATATTAGATATCATTTCCAAGAATTTGGCAGCGCTGGGAGTGGACAGAGTCGTCGTTTTAGAAATGCACGCGAAAGGTTCAATTTCCATCACTCCTCATGTCGCAATGTTATCGAGCATGCTTTTGGTGTTTGGAAACAGAGATGGAAGATTATTGATAGAATGCCTGCGTATAGTATGCGAGTGCAAGTGGCCGTGGTGGTGTCCACTATGGGAATACATAATTTTCTACGAAGAAACGGTCAACTGGATGAGGGGTTTATGAGAACCGAAGAAATGGACGATGACGAAGTTGAGATAGACCTATCGGATGCCGAGGATGAGATTGCCGCGAGGAAGATGCAATAGTCGAAGAAGATATTCCACGGCAACAGTTGCGTGATTATATGGCACAAATTATACGTTAGTTTTTGTGTTCAATTTTATTCTTGTCATTAAGTATGTCACTAAGTACGTGTGTGTGGTTATTAATAACGTAAATCATGGAGTTTTTAACTGTTTAGATATAGTTATTATCAAACTATTACGAGTTTCGAAGTTAGTTTACGAGAATCTAATACAAGCAAAAAAGATATTTCCTTATAGCGGTGAATCGGAAAAAATGAGGAATTAACAATTTCGATTTGGTCACGGTATGCGGAAAATATTACGAGATTGGAACGTATACTGTTATTTCCCATTTTTATTTTCACATGCCCGGCAACTGCTTGCTTAAAACCACCACGGTTGGAAATGGTCTTCAAAATCAATGATCATTTGGAAGTGTAGCATGTGAATGAAATGATAAGCCGGGCCCCACTAGATGAAAATCCAAGGGCAGTTTTGGAAAAGAAATCCATAACTTTTATCACACCATTTTTATTCTTGTGGGTGGTACTGTCACTATCAGGAATCTGTCAGCCTCACCTACCACCTGCTGTCCTCTATTGAAAAAATTGAGGAAAAAAAAATTAGGAAGAAAGGGGGCCAAACAGACGCTATGTCTTTGTGTGCTGACGCGTCAGGAAGGCATCAACTATTTCTCATATCAGTTAAGAATTTGAAGTATTCCTCCATTCCCACAATCATAATTCCATAAGTTTTTGCAGTGGAGAAGACATAGTTGAGCCTTTCGATTGCATGAACTCCGAAATTTCAAGATATTCAAACACAGTTGTTTCAATTGTCAGTCTAAAACTCTTGGTCATACATCATCTATAGAGAAAAGTGACAAAAAACTTTAAAAAATGACAAATAATCAAAAAAGTCAACAAAATCTTAAAAAAGTGACAACAATATCTTCATATTTTCAAATCAAAATGCTTAATAGAGGATGTATCATGCCCAACTGTGACCAAAGGACATCATGTTATCCCCTTTTTCCAACATTGAACAATTGTTTTACTAATTTGCTACAATTTTGAAGGGAAACAATATTGAAAATGGCTCTACTATCTAATTGCTAAGGAATGGAGAAAGGGATAACAATGTAGAAACCTACATTGTTCACAAATAGTCATAACACTAGAAAAAAAGCATATGCATATGCTCTTTTTAGGAACACTATAAATGGATTCCTTTGAAAATACATAGTACAACACCTAAGTTTAATCATCACAAAACACAAATACAACTTCGTTGTTCACAAATAGTTATAACAGAAGACAGAGAGAAAATGGGGGCTATGGGTGATTTATGTGACACCAAGAATGAAAGTGAAGAAGTTGAGTTCTCATAAAGCAGTTTCACTCGTAATATTAGACAAACATAACCATCATGGTGATAAGATGGCTGATGAATGCAGGTAAAACATAAGAACTAACAAGAAGACCAACAAAAACTCATATAAACATCAATACATTAATTGTATTAGATGTACTTTAAGTTGAATTTTGAATTTTTAGCTGGATCTTCAAAACTTCTTACATCGTCTTTAAATATACATCCAAGTACACTTTCTCTGAGCTCGATTCAGAGATTTTTGTAGCTTGCTTGAGCTCTGAAAAAGTGAAAACTCTAACATTTATTGGGCCTTTTGGACAAATTTGGAAATTAGATCCTTCATATTGACTCAATGCTTGTATCTGAAGCATTTTTAGAGCTGAATTCAGATTCTGATGGCCTCCATTCTGATTAGTAAATGACGACTGGACAGAAGTCAACTTTGTGGTCTTCAGTTGCCCCTTCTTCTTTCTGAAGTAGAATCGAAAACACTTCATAACTAGAATAGATTGAAATACACCTCACTGAACCCATAGACGTAGAGCAAGAATTAACTCATAATTTACTCTGAATAACAGGTGCAGAAACAATTTAAACAAACACCTATTATGAGCAAATTTTTTTATTAGTAAATAAAGTTTATAATTGTTTCACAATTAGTTACTCGATTAGAAAAACTAACTAAAGCCATCGTGTTACAACTCGACTTCAATTTCAGCTCATTCCTCACCGTAATCACTGCAACAGAAATCAGCTAAAACCAGCTGATGAATTACCAATTCGACAAAATGGAAAAATAGAAATTTGGGGGGGAGGGGGGAGAGGAATGATGAAAATTTGAGAAGAGATGAGAGATAAGTTGAATTGAAGAATCAATGCACTAATAACTGAAATTTCATAACAATTCACATGATAATTTGCAGAGAATATATGGACATGTATATATACACTCGAGCAGAGCAAAAAATGTGATTAGCTAACAGAATTTGAAGAAAAATGTTTTCAATTATTACACTTTAATTATATATAAAACAACGCCGTTTCTTTAGTGACAAAACGACACTGTTTCTGCTTTCAAATGTTAGTTAATTCTGTTTCCAGGTTCTTCCTACTTTCCTTTCCTCTAGTTTACTAGTT